GGGAATAAAAGAAATGGGTTGACATTTTAGCTTAGTGGGCCAGGTAGGGAGAAAAATAAAAAGGAAAGGGTTGAAGTGGGCTGGGATGTTGGGCTTGGGGATTAATTTGGGAATTGGCTTTCTGATGGGCTGAAGATTTAAGATGGAAAAGGGGTTTTTTGGGTTGGGTTTCTGATGGGCTCGTTTCTGAAGAAAAGGCCCAATGGCCTCTTAAATGGATTAAAGGGAAATGGGTTAGATTTGATAGATGGCCAATTTTAGTTAATAAAAAAAAATTGGCTAAACCTTAAATAAAAATGAATTTGTATTAATTATTCAACGAGTTTTCCTCTTTTTTTTATTTATTTATTAATATAATTATAAAATAGTGTTTCAAAGTATAATTATAATTTAAACTAAGATAAGATGCTTACTAAAATTAAAATATTTTTGAGATGGTTTTTGAATAATCGTGAAATATACTAATTATATACATAACTATGTAAACATATATATTATCTAAAGTTATGCTAAATGTATCCGAAGTAACATAAAGTTCATGCATTCTATTATTTAATTTACGCAAAATTTATAAAACTAATTAATTTAAATTGTTTGGAAAACTTACAAAGCTCGATATTTAATTTATACCGACGTGGGTCAAAATTGGGTGTCAACATTCATCCTATATGACACCTTACATGGAAATTTTGTATCCTACGTGGAGTACTACGTGTATCATGTCATGTAGGACACGTGTGTCTACTTGTTCAATTTTATTCAAGTTTAAGTGCCTACTTGTGCACACCCAAAGTTAAGGGTTAGTTGCCAACCGATGCCAAGTTAAAAGTCATATTTATGTATTAGGCAAATTGAAAATAAAGTAAACAAAAAAAGAATAATAAATATCCAAGTTGGGATGAAAATATTTTGTTTCTTTTAAGGAGATTCAAGTTGACTGTGGTATAATATTCAACAATTCAGTAGTATGACTGATCTTGACTTGTCCTCTCCAAGATATAACAACCAACAACATTATAAAATTCAAATAATTCCAAACTAGTTGAAAAATTCAAAGCTCCACAAAAAAATATCTTAATTCCGTCAACATAAAATTAATCTCTTTGGTATAGTGAATAAGTTGGAAACTTGAAATATTTTCATTTCTCTCAATTCTTATTTCACTACTCTAACCTCACTGCACACTACTACAATATATTTCACATGCTTTTCATAATTCTCATATTTAATATAATATTTTTCGACTCAAACACAAAGGAAGAAACACTATTATTTCTATTAGGGATGTACAAAATCGAATCAAATTGTAAGTCGAGTCAACCCAAAAAAGAAATTGACTAGTGATTTGGTTTGACATTGGAAAATTTTTTTAACTATATTTGAGTTGGTTTGGTTTTAACTAAAAAAATCAACCAAAGACCAAACAAATTCGACATTATATATGTCATTTTAAAATTTATTCTATACATAAAAATATTTACTTTGATATAATTTTAAAATATTTCTTACACTATTTCAGAGTTTTATCTTTTAGTATATTATTTCAAGTTTAAAACTTAGAATTCGGAATGGTCCAATAATATTATGTTCATAGATGTTGATAATTATAATAAAACTTAAATTAAAATCACATTGAGACTAATGCAAAAATAAAATCAATTCAACACTAAGAATGACAATAATATTGAATATTTGTTCTTTAGTTTTAGATTGATTTAGACAATTAAAAACATAATCTAATTTTAATTTTCCTTATTTAGTAATGTAACTAATACTCATTAAAAGGGTCAAATATGCTCCTAGACTATTCGAAAAAGTCTAGATACCCTACGTTTAAAGTTTGGTTCACTCATACCCTCGTCGTCCAAATTTTGGCCCAAATATACTCTTATCACATGTCATTTATATGAAAATAGTTTGAGATCAATTATGCCCCTAAAAGATTTGGACAGATAAACACCGAATCCGACCCATAAATCAACCCTCTTTTAAATAAACTATCCGTCCCATTTTCAATAATTTTGTTTAATTTTTATTTTTTCGATAAATTTCGAAAATGAGTAATTGATTAATAAAAAATATAAAATTATTGCCAAAAATTCATAAATAAATATAGTAACCTTGAATTTGATAATTTTAATATTTTTAAAAAAATATATTTTTGATAAATCCCAAAAATGATTAATTTATTAATAAAATTATGAAAAAATATAGAAAATTAACGCCAAAATTCAAAAATAAATATAGTAACATTAAATTCAAAAATTTCAATATTTTTTAATTTTTTATTTTTTTGGTAAATCCCGAAAATGAGTAATTTTATTAATAAAATAGGAAAAATATGAAAAAATATAAAACTTACGCAAAAAAGTAACAAATAAATATAACAACCTTAAATTAAACAATTTCAAAATTTCTTTTTAATTTTTATTTTTCAATAAATCTCGGAAATGAGTAATTTGATTAATAAAAATAGGAAAATGTGAAAAATATAAAATAAAAAAAAATTCTTGAAACTATTGAATTTAAGTTACTATATTTATTTGTGTTTTTTGGCTTTAATTTTGTAATTTTTTCATATTTTCCTATTTTTTATTAATGAATTTCTCATTTCGAGATTCAATGAAAAAATCAAAATTGAAAAAATTATTGAAATTATTAAATTTAAGGTTACTATATTTATTTGTGAGTTTTTGGCATAAATTTATTTTATTTTTTCATATTTTTCCTTTTTTACTAATAAATTACTCAATTTTGGGATTTATCAAAAAAATAATTTATTTATTTTTTGTAGAATTAAAGGTTACTATATTTATTTGTGAAATTTTGGCATTAGTTTTAATCAGGCATAATACATATATTTGATCCTAAACTTGACTTCGAATTTTAACTTTGACTTTAACTTTCATATGCACAAACAAGCACTTTAACTATCCAACTTTTAAATAAATAAACACATGAGTCCTGCATGGTATAATACACGTAGGTCACCACGTAAGATAAAAAATGACATGCAGGATATGTGTGTCTATATGTTCAACTTTATACAAATTTAAGCGTCTACTTGTGCACACCCAAAGTTGAAGGGCATAAATGTGATTCGAAGACAAGTTAAAGGGCATATTTATGTATTATGCCTTTAATTTTTTTCACACCTTTTATATTTTTTATTAATCAATTACTCATTTTTGGTTAAAAAAATAAAAAATTTAAAAAGAATATTGAAATTGTTGAATTTAAGGTTACTATATTTATTTGTGAATTTTGGCGTTTATTTATATTTTTTTCTTATTTTTTTTATTTTTTATTAATCAAGTACTCATTTTTCGGGTTTTACCAAAAAAATTATTAATCAAATAGTTTATATAAAACAGGGGTGATTTATGAGTTGGATTAGGTGTTTATGGGTCTGAATCCCTTTCTATTTTCATATAAGTGTCATGTGGTAAGGTTAAAATGACATGACAATTTCATGTGACATTTAAAGAAATAAAAATGAGCTGGATATGTCCAACATAAGAACTAACGCCCGTAAGGGCTTATTTGGGCCAAAATTTGGACGACGAGGGTATGAATGAACCAAAATTTAAACGGAGAGCATATTTAGACATTTTCGAATAGTTTAGGGACCTATTTGACCCTTTTCCCTTTATTTTATATGGTGATATCATTATTATTTTTAGTTGAATATTTTCGTGTCATCAATACCCATCTTATATTTTGTATTATTGTTTAAGAAACACCTTAGATAATTGTATTTTGGTTGAACTAAAGAAATATTTGAAGCACAAGTTAATTATATGTTGCGCAACTTTCATATATAACAAACATAAAATTCATATTTGTATGCTATAGCAAAGTTTGCATAATTGCACTCCATAGCAAACATATATATTACGAATTGTATAAAATAAAGTGTATAAAACGAGAAAGAGAAATAGACTTAAGCAGAGAATTGTATAAAACGAAGTGTATAAAATGAATTGTACAAGTATAAGTGTATAGAACGATTATATACAATTTGTAGTTGTATAAAATGAGAAAAAGAGAAAGGCAAAAGAGACTTGGGCAGGGAATATACAATTGAATCGAATTGTATAAACGAAGAAAAGAGAAATTATATACTATTTGAATTTGTATAAAACGAGAAAGAGAAAAAAGCAAAAGAAAATGGGCAGGGGAGTATTTTTATTGTATAATTATAAGTGTATAGGACGAATATATATATATATATATATATATATATATATATTTGCATGTGTATATACAATTTTCTCTCGCTTTATACAAATAGAAACGCAATTTATTCATTTCGTTTCTATTTGTATAAGCGAGAGAGGCGAGGGTGACGAGTGATATTAGGGTGAGTGGAGAGCGAGATCCGGGAGAGGGGAGAGAGGGGAACAAAAATATATGTATTTATACAATTTCTTTTCGCTTTATACAAATATAAACAAACTTTATACACTTGTGTTTGTATAAAAGTGAGAGGAAGCGAGCGAGAGATGGAGCGAGAGAGGAGAATGGCGAGCGAGAGTTTGAGGGAGAGAAGTGACTGACAAACAGTTTGCTACAGGACACAATTAAATCAAAGGGTGGCTATAGCAATTAATTTGATTTATTAGTTTGCCAGTATATACAATTTTCCCTTATATGTTTGTATGCAAACTTTACCGAAAAATCCAAAAATCTGATAAGAAAAAATTGAGGTTTATTATTTGGTTTGATTCATAAATTAAAAAATTCGACACGATGGTTTGGTTTGATTTGATTTGATTTTTTAAAAATCCAAACCAACTTGAGGTTGAAAAATCCATAAAAATCCGAATTTTATTAGTTTAGTTTATAAATTTATTTTTTTATACAAATGGTTTGGTTTGATAGTTGAAAAATCCAAACCAACCCAATCATTTACACCCTTAACTTCGCCTAATTTCTATATGTAAAATTCTTTCATAGATCAAATAACAAAGTAGTGAAATATTAATAGGATTAATTACCTGAATATACAACTTAAGTTTACATATTCTCCATATTTCCCTTATTTTTTTAAAAAATACTAAAATCCCTATTTTTTAATAAGTCTAATTTAACAGATACATTATTAAATTAGAATCCTAATAAATCCTAACCAATTAAATCTTATCCCTAATTTTACTCTTTATTTTCCCCAAATAAAGAACCCATTTACACCACTACCAAAATTAATGCGTCAATTTCTCAACGGTTCATCTTCTCAATTTTGAAAATCAAAATTTGTGCTCTCCATCCGTCAGCCTTCATCTAATCTGTCCGCCATTTTTGTCTACTTTGTCAGCCTTTGAAAATCAAAATTGTGCTCTCCGTCCGTCCGTCTTCGTCTAATCTGTCTGTCATTTTTGTCTACTCTGTCCGCCTTAAAAAATCAAATCGCCAATTTCGTCTACTCTGTCCGCCATTTTCGTCCAATATTCTTGAAAGGTATTGTGTTCTTCTTCGATTCTCTCTTTTCATTCTTCTATTTTTCTAATATTTCATGGATCATTTGTCATTTAGTATTGGGATTACTCAAATAATCACTTCAAACTCTAAACAAATCTATATTTTTGAAGATCCGAAATCGGTTGAAAACAAGTCTAAGAGCTTGCATAATTGGTTTGCATTGTGTTGTTACAATTATGTATCAAGCACAATTTATGTCTCATGTATCATGTTAAAGTTTGTCGTTTATATAAAGTATCAAGTAGACAGACTTATAACTATAGTTACACGTATGTATCAAGTACAACTTTGCATTTTTTGTATCATGTTAGTATCAAGTAGACAGACTTATAACTGTAGTTACACTTATGTATCAAGTACAACTTTGCATTTTTTGTATCATGTTAGGCTATAAAGTGTCTGTTAAGTATCATTTTGACTGACGTATGATATGTTGTTAGAATTATGTATCAAGTTTATTTTTGCATTTTATGTATCATATTAACAACTTTGCATTTTTTGTATCATGTTAGTATCAAGTAGACAGACTTATAATTGTAGTTACCTTTATGTATCAAGTACAACTTTGCATTTTTTGTATCATGTTAGGCTATAAAGTGTCTATTAAGTATCATTTTGACTGACTTATGATATGTTGTTAGAACAGATTGGGCAGCATTGGATGCATATAAAGACAAGAAAACTGGAGAACTTTTGGGTCCACAACATTCGTTTAATGTGGAGTTTGCTCAAGACAACATGCAACAAAAATGTGATAGCCTGTGAGTATTGTTTATTATTTTATTTTATTTTTTGTATCTATTCATCCTTATAATTATTCTTATTGTTTTTGTAGTGATTGCGGACTATTCGTAGTTGTATATGCAGAATTCTGAGTGACAAAATCAACATATCATGTAATAGTTTTAAGAGTAGCTATCTTCGCAAAAGATATGCGATTCTTTTATTGAAGTATGGTCTCGACAAGATGAATGCTGGATATGTTAGCAACAGTGATGACCCTTCAAGAATGAAGAATGTATTAAACCCATCATCTGAAGATGAAATTGTTAATGTAGGCTAGTTAGTTTTCAATGTTTGATTTTTTTTTTTGTTTTTTGGAGTTAAACAAGATGTTTGAAGTATTTATTAACATAACAACACATATTGTTAAATTATGAAAGTGTTTTGATTTTTAAAATTATTTATTCTATTACTTTAATTTTATTTTTATTACCGTTATGAATTCAGGAATTATGTATACTGTTATTGGGACATGAATGTCATTATTGTATCAAAACTATAATAATAATTACATTAATGTAATTATTGTCATAAAAAACACTTATTATATATACGTAAATATATTGCATGATACAAAAAAAGAAAATTATATACGTAATTATATTTTGGATATGATACATGAAATATCAAAATATATAATATCACAAACAGTGATACTAGTTATTACACTAGATACACGCCAGTTTTTTTTTTAAAAAAAATTAATATCTTTTGTACAAATAAGATATATTCAGTACTATGATTTATATATATTACGAACAATTATTTGTCCTTCAAAATATGAAATTTTTTTAAGTATCTACACACATGATACTATATTACTAAATTAAATTAAATTAGAACTGACAATAATTTGGGTGAAATATCCGCAATTAATATTGATTAAAGTAAGTTTGAACAAAGATTATAAAATAAAGTATTTGATATATAAATATAATATACAATTTAAATAGTGTTTAACAAAAAAAAAAGAATTAGTCTGCCAAAAAAAAAGGGAAGATCACTAATGAAAAATTATAATTTAATTTAGAGTTTTATATTGGATAAAACTGATTTTGAAACACACAAGTTAATGCTTTTTTTTATGGGATTAATAACTGTAGCATATTAAAAGTAGGAATTAATTCAAATTTCAGTTTTTAATCCCCCAAATCACTCAACAAACGGATAAAATAGCATGATATAGGATGTATCCGACTGTTTTATTATGTAACAAAAACTTCTTAAAAATAAGGGATTTTTTGTAAATTGAAAAAAAATAGGGATAGAAGATAATTTATGTTTTACACTATGTGATTTACATAATTTTTACATATTAATATTGTAGAATATGTAATGGACTAATTAAAGGTGTAACATGTAATAGTAGTTGCAGGAGTTGCACAAATAAAATAATGCTCACTTTCATCACTAACTCAAGCAAATTAATATTGTTAATTTGATATTAAAATGCATATTAAAAAAATTTATTTAAGATCATGAATTTCAAAAGTCATAATTTTTTTTTTATAAAATTTCATCATGTTTGAAATTGTCACAAGGATGTAACATTGATGCTGACATGCATCTACCTAGCAGATTATCACTTCTATTAATTTTCTGCTTGTCTCATCATGCATAGAAAGCATAATACATTATGTTCTTTCTTCTAAATTATTAAATATCTGAAGTATTATTTCTCCACTATGTAGTAGTACCATCATATTAACACGATCACTAAAACATTATCAGAAACAAATATTCATGTATATCGCCATTATATTTGTATATCTCCTGTATATTATGTACATCCACGAATATCTATATACAATGATAAACACAATGAAGGAGATTGCTAAATTTCACAAGAAGTATATAATAAATATCGATGAAACAATACTCAAATTCAACTTACATGTATTAAATATATAACCTTTCATGGTTCATACTATTGTTCCTGTCTCATTCATACTATTGGTGGTTTATATATATTTATAATGTAACTCATATGCGTCTTGAAGACGCAAGATTTGCTTTAATCTTCCAAGGATTGAAACAAAATTTCCTCCCCAAGACATCTTTTGTAAATTTAGACAAGGGTAACACTTTCCTTTTTGAGATGGAAGAAGATAGAACTGAATCTTGATGACTACTTTTGATCATTTTCTTGATTTTCTCCCAAGTATTAGAAGGTTTATTGTGTTGATGATCATGATGAGGAATACAAGGTTTAGGGAATGCTAAACTTTGTATCATTGGCGGAGGGCTAGGTGGTGGAATGACTTCATTTTGTGGTGTATGTATAGCCATAGGAGTGCCTGGTTGCATTTCCCATTTAAAGGGAATTCCTTCTACTGTGCTTCTATAGTAAGATTGGTCTACTGATGACATTCTTGAAACTATTCTCTCAACAAATAATCTTTCACCAATTTCTTCTCTCTTGTTCATTTTTCTGTAGCCCTCCTCTTTATCCTGCAACACAATTAGCTCCGTGACTAAAAATCATTTCATTAAGGATGAAATAAATATTTTAAAGTCAAAGTATTACTTAATACAAAAATGTGTCATTTATTTGAAAATGACCAAAAAAGAAAGTACGTCATATAAGTTGAGACAGAAGATATTGAAAGAAGTAGAATCAAGCCATTTATCTAGATAAAATAACTTTTTGTTTTATTTAAAACTCTCGAACTAGAAAGAAAAGCCTTTTTAGCGGGCTTCTAGATTCACAATTATATTTGTCTTTTATTTTCTCAATGAAAAGCCAGATAGAACTTTGACTAGAGCAAAATCATGAACTTGACTTTTACGAGAAGAGCAAAGCATAAGCGAATAAAGACAAGAATTCCACACGGGAGGAGGTTCTCTTTACGAGAAAAACAGATTCAAATGTAAAAAAAACTTTCATTTAACTAAGAATTCTTACTTTCAACTTTGAGAGGGAATAGTTATATATATAAAAAATATATCCATTTGCTGGCAATTATTTTGATGGACTATTATGTAAATTTCTCAAAAAAAGTTGAGATCACCAAGATCTTTTTTTTTCCCCTTTTTGTGTCTTCGTTCTCGAGAGAATTTGATTTTTCAAGATGGAAGTTAAAAGAATCTGTTCTCTCAAAACCAAATCGATTTCTTAAAGAACATACAAAAGTAAAAGCAAAACAAATGCAATTAGTCAAAACGTTAATGCTAATTTACAAATAGAGTTTTAAAAAGTACAATAGGTGCAAAAATATTTAAATAAATCATATCATTTAGAAGACAATTACAGGTAATTGTATATAATAATTGGTAACTTAGAAATTAGGATAAATAGCATATTATAAAATATATAAATGCATATGTTATAATAGATTATTAATTTATAACTTAATATCATATAACTTCACTCCGAAGAGTCTCCGCTGAACGCTAATGCTTCAAGATCCGCACATTCACTATTTTTGTGAATAAACAGTTGCATAAGTTTTTTAACCTTACAAGAGTGGTGAAAACGATTCTGAATATGACAAAGAATTATTAGTTTAGGTTCAAAATTATGTGCAGAACTAAAACATATTTATTATGTTTGTCTAAATGATTTTAAAACTTTTCTAAAATGTCACATGACATAATAAGTGTTCCTAATCATTGTTATACGCGATAGACAATAAACTAAGTGGATTTTCGCCCAAGGTGTTGTAATTGATTTAATCATTTATTTGTTCTTCTTATTTTTATTTTAGATGTCTTAATTAGTGTGTACATAGAATTATAAAATTATTTTAATCAACTTATTCAGGAAAAGATTTACTTACTAATATTAAAGTATATTTATACTATCACTATAATTATATCAACCTTTTGTTGCATGTAATTTGCCATATTTGTTAAGTTACTAATAATCCCACCTTTCATGGAAGATTACCTGATATTATTATTTAAAGGACATGATATTTATAACATACTTGGAAAAAAATATTCAAAAAAATAAAATAAAATAAATGCTAAATCTTTTATTCTTTCCCTTTCAATTTGAAAAAAGAAACCATTTTATTTTTTTATTAACTCTTTAGTTTTATTTTTTCACATGATATGTTTTCACTATAAAAATATTTTAGTATATTTTACATATATTTAGTTTAAGACCTCAAAACGTAATTTATTTATTTTATAAATTTTATTTTCTTAAACTTCATTCAAATCACAGCCAGACGAACAATTGAAACATAGTAACTAACACAAAATGACACAAGTAAAAAGAATTAGAATGTTTACCAACCATTGATGTGAGATTGCAACAATATGAATCCTCCATTAAATCCCTTGAAGATTTGTCCCTCTCTTTAGTGTTTGAATCAAATGAAGATGAACTAGAGTTGTTAAACTCTTTATCTCCATCGTGCGATTTCGCAAATTGTTTTGATGAATGCAATTTCTTCATCCTGTTTGTAATCCAAACCTTGAAATTTTTTGATTCATGATCATCAAAACAAGGTTTAGTAAGCCCTATGCTTTGAAATGAAGGTGGAGGGCTAAGTGGTATATTGGCATCTTCTTTTGTTGGATTAATTTTAGGGGTTCCAGGCTGCTTTTCCCATTCAAATGGAACCCCTTCACCTCTTCTATAATAATGAATTCTTGAAGAATGTCCCACTGATAGCTCTCTAGAAATTTGGAAACATTTGCTTTGACGAATCCATATTTTGATAATATTTTTTTGATGACAAAACATATATATAATGTTTGTTGAGTTAAAAAGAAGAGGTATTAGTCAAGTATATATATAGGAATGGATAAATGAGTAAAGATTCTCCTTATTCAAAGCCTAAACAAGAGAAATATGCACCTGATTCTCAAACTTATGGTGTGTGCGAGTGTTTTTTTTACACTGGTTTGATATCTTAAATTGATTTAAGAAAATTTTTATCCTTTTTTATAAGGTACAAATAATATTTATAAGGTACTAAAGAATGTTAAAAAAATAAATAAAGCAATTCAAACTTAAGAGTTAAGCAAATTGAGTTTTGACTCGTATTTTAGTTTATTTAAGTCTAACCCCATTCCGTCAACTAACTTTTGGAGGGTCAATAAACTACTAAACATCCATTTATTAACAAGACCCATTATAGTCAACTTACATTCAATTCAACCCGCATTTGTCACCTAGAATCAGAGGCGGAACTAGGAAGAGGGTTCAAAATCTATAGAAATAGATAGCCGAGAGGGATTTAGAATTTACTATATACATATAAACTTATTTTAATTATGTATAAATACTATAATTTTTCGTCGATGAAGATTCGAATGAACCCCCTTCATACCAGGTAGCTCCGTCCCTGCCTAGCACTATATCATTTGGCACAAGTGTATATTCATCTGTCCAACAATACTTATTTATTATCGATTTTGAACATTTTATTTTAAAAAATATAAATAAAAGGATAATTTTACTATATTATTCTTTGAATAGTTATAAATATAATATAATGTCTTGAAAAATGAAACCGATAAATGATTATGATTAATGATAAGTCTAAATTATGAACTAAGATGAAATTATCCATTAATTTCATAAAGTGGACAAGTATGATTAGACCTTTCAAAATAGTATAGTAGACAATTATTATTGGACGAAGAGAGTACCTAAAGTTAGCTTAATTTTTTAAATCTTTCCCTATTTAGCAAACTTTGTATATATTTAATTTAAAATACGTCGAAAAAAAATCTTTAGTTATGATTAGCATGTTGAATCTTTGGAGCAGAAAATTGATAAAGAGTGATATTCATGTAAATTATTTTAGATTTAGGTTTCACCATATTAAAAATGGATAAAGATTTGGTTAAGTGTAATTCGGTCAAGTAATGTTTAATAACCTTATAAATTTATGCCATGTGTATTATATAATAATTTATGGTTGAGATCCACTTAAATTATATATATTCATCTTAATAATAAAAACAACAAAGCCGTCAACTATTTTTATTTTTTAAAATCATCATGTAAAGCAATTAAGTGTACCCTAGGTAACATTTTCAAGAAAAAAAAAGATTGATGGGAATGTGCGGACTTTCAAACTTTTTACCTGACAAATCTCATACTTGCATTGAAATTTTTAAATTATACTAATTTTAAAGAATTGACCCTTTTGAAGAATCCGAATAAATATATTTTATAATTATTTGAATACCTCCAAATAAGTTTTTTTTTAAAAAAAAATACATTATCATGTTCTTTAGTTGAATTGTTATTTAGGACTTAATGGTGTTTTTAAGTTTGATCAATTTTTCGAGACTACTTCAGAATTTGGAGAAAGTATATGTGAAATTACTCTCAAAGAAATTTGGTGGGTAAAAAAAGTTAGGAAGTCCGCATATTTCTGTCAATCTTATTTTTTTTTTGGAAGATATTAGTTTAGGTACACTTAATTACTTTATTTGATAGTTTTAAAAAATGAAAATAGTTAACAACTTTATTATTTTTATTATTATGACAAATATATAATTTCAATGAATTTTAATTATAAATTATTATATATATATACATAACATAAATCTATAAATTAATTAAATATTACTTAACCTAATTATACTTGATCGAATCTATATCTATTCGAAATCTTTAAGAGAATCATACGTGAGAATGGTAATCAAGAATAATTATAATCGATAGGAATAATTTAATGAAATAAATACTTATTCAGAGGAGTTTAAAGTGCTGACAGTGAACAAATTAACAAAAAGAGAAAATATTAATCAATATTTGTTCTAATTCAAAATATATGGTTTGAGATTCAGCAAATCTAAAAGAATGGTCTCTACCACATATATCCCTTTTGACTTAAAAACTTGGAGATTATCCAGCATTAACTTCAGAATGTAATAAAGTTACTTGGAACTAGACATGTTTATTTTATTTTATAAAGACACCACTCAGCTTGAAAATATCTTTATACGTAACTTGGACTACAATGAATCTGGATACTTCCATGATTATATTGAAAGTAATTGGAGGATGAAGACATTGTTTTAACTATACTCCCTTTTATTTATTTTTATATATTTATTCGTTGTATTAAAAATAATTGTTTGATAATATTTATGAGTTTAGAAAATCAAGAGATATTTGTTTATTTTAGATTTTATTTATGTTTGCTATTAAATAATATTCAATATATAATATATTTTTTAAGATATTAAATTTAATATATTCAAAGGATAATATAGTAATATTATATGTCAAGTGAACAATTATTGTTGAACATATGACATATTACTTCCCTATTTTAGACATATTTCCATTTTTGTTTGACACTTGATAGAAATACTGAGGTTGCAAAACCCTCATTCCAATGGCAAATTTTTATGGAGAATTTTCGCAAATAACCATGCTCTATAGCTATAGTTTACATATTTACGGGTTGTAGCTACAATTTAAGTTGTCTTGTTTGTATAATTCGCAAGCGACTTTGTATAATTCGCGATAATTGAATTATTTTTGTATACACTCGAAATACGAATTTATACAAATACAAACATCTGAACTTCAAACAGTTACACAAATTATATTATACAAAAGTAATACAAATTATATTATACAAAATTTAAATTATACAAACTTAAAACCACAATCCACAAATTATATTATACAAAATTTAAATTATACAAACTTAAAACCACAATCCACGTAATTATCACTGAATATTAATGACAAATGATAATTAACTGAAATTATAGCGCACTAGAATGACTAATTAACTATTATATATATGTTTGTTTAACCATACAATTTTTCTTAACACGATAACAAATTTCATTCTATAACATACTAAATGAGAAATGAATCTAGTACATATATGTATTCCCCTTCTATAATTTCTAAAAGTAAAATTATTTAAAAAATAAAAATCAACTCTACCTTAAAGATGACTCTAATTAAGAGTATCTTTATTGTATTGTTTTTTCTCTTTGTTGTAGGCCTCCTTTTAGTCATATTTAAGCAAAAAGATAGGTCTTTTCTCTCTTTTATACTCAAGTTTATATATGTTTGAAAGGCTTATTATATCTAAAGAAGGTTGATATATACCATGTGCAATTACTTATAATTCATTTGAATTATTATTCTTTTTGTAATTTATTGGAACTTTGAGTAAGGTTTAATCGCTTGAAATATTGCTAAGCCTTAACCTAAGCTACTAACACCGAAGCAACATTTTGGTTTGATTCGTTGAATGCTTTGCTTCCATATAAAAAATAAAAATAAAAATATATATTCCTCCTTTGTCAAAATATTTATTGTTCTTGCTAAAAATATTTACCTCAAAGTAATGCCATTTTAAAAGTTCAAGGTAATTAATTTTATTTTTATTTTTATTTCTAGTAGTAATTGTTCATGAATAGTACTTCAATTATGGAATAAAAATAAAGTAAATATTCAACGAAAAATATATTTCAAACATAAATAGGATCAGATGTTCAAACACCTCTTCTATTTTTTTAAAAAAATATATAAATAAAAATATATGATAAATATTTTTAGATGATATACCAGCTTAAGTTGACTTTTGAAGGGTGTTATTTTTGTTTTAGGGAAAATTGTATATAGTGACAAACTAATAAATTAAATTAAATGTTTTAACCACACTTTAATTTAATTGTGCCTTTTAGCAAACTGTTTGCCAGTCACCTCTCTCCCTCAAACTCTCATTCGCCACTCTCCCTTTCTCGTTTGCTCTCTTCCTCGCTCTCTCTCAATTTTATACAGACATATTTGTATAAAATGTGTTTCTATTTGTATAAAGCGAGAAAAAATTGTATATGTACATATATTTTCGTTTCCCTCTCTCCCCTCTCCAGATCTCGCTCGCCACCCTCGCCTCTTAGCTTATAAAAAACAGAAACGAACAGTATAAGTTGTGTTTCTGTTTGTATAAAGCGAGAAAAAATTAAAAATATACACTTGCAAATACATATATCTTCGTCCTATACACTTATAATTATACAATACAATATTCCCCTACCCAATTTTTTTTGTCTTTCTCTCTTTCTCATTTTATATATACACAAATTATCAATTGAGTTGTATACAATTGCTTTCTTTTGTATATGTATAACGAATTATACAATTAGTTTCTGTAATGACCTGTTTAGTCGTTTTGAGCAGCAAATTTTATTTTCGAGAAAAACTGGCTGAGTCGACGGATCCCACGACGGACCGTCATGGGCACGACGGACCGTCGAGGGGGTCTCGTTCCAAAACACTTAGAATTCTGAAATTTGGGTACTGAAATCGACTCTCTGAACTTCGTGACGACATGGCAGGACGGACCGTCACAGGCTCTTCAGAGAATTGAGTCTCTGAACTCTGTGACGGAAGCAGCAGGACGGATCGTCGCAGTCACGACGGCCCGTCACAGGTTGCGTAATCCCAGGCTGGGTCGGATTTCTGTAATTATTTTAAGGGGCGTTTTGGACTATTCCGGCTTATAATTATAAAGTTAGTGGTTTAATATTTATAACTCAATTACTTGGGGGTTAAAAGAGGTAACCTTGAGTTAACTAGTGGGTTAATTCATCATTCTTTTATACTTAATTATATGCTAATTAGGGTAAATGAAAGAGGGTTTGAATAAGAAAAATAGAAAGAACAAGAGAGAGAGAGAGGATCGATCGAGACAAGAGGGAAACGAAGAGAAAACAAAGCCTTGAGAAAATTACTTGCTTGATCACGAATCTTCGGTGGAGGTAGGTTATGGTTTTTATACTATTCGTAGTAAACTCTTAATAGCGAATGATATGTATTGGTAGTATTGTAAACCCTTCTATATGCTTAATTGTATGCTTGCATGAATGTGATTATGTAATTGTGATAAAATAAGCATGATGAAGCTATTGAATCCTAAAT